TTTTTTATTTTCAGCATACAAGAAAAAGCCTGGCAAATAATGAAAAAGAATTCCAACAGGAATGCCAATTTAATAATGCATTTTGAGATTTTAACTTTACATTGGGGGGTTTCTGTATCAAGTGGAAGCACCTGGTAAATGACATTGCTTATACACCACAGAATAGCTCTCCCCACAGTAAGTCTGCATCAGACTATGACAAATAAATCTTCCCAGACAATTACTTCACATGTCCTTAATGAAATTAATGTAGTAGTGATGAAGTCAAGGACATTTGCTGTCAGTAAGCCACTTCTAACCTAGAAGAGAACTTTGCATTTTGAGGGCTGTCTGTAGCAAAAAAACCGAACAACAAACCCAACCAAACCAATAAACCAAAACCTTTCTGCTAAAATAACACCAAGGCAACACACACAATTCCCCACGTGAAATTTACTTTCTCTTTTATTGACAGTCTCCAAGAAAAACATTTAATATTTCCTGGCCTTCTGAGCTTTTTTGCACTACATTTACAATAATTGCTTTTGTGATAGCAAGTATTTGGGTAGAACAAAACCATCTGCATTAGACAGCTACATCGCTCTGAAACACCAGCCCACCTGGCTTCTTTTAGAGTCTTTATGTGTAGAATAGCGGCGCTTCCCAAAAGTTTTCTGTTATTTCTCTTTAAAACTCATTTTGAGACTCTGAAAGCAACAGAATAGTGACTTATAATTTAGGAAGAGAAGGAATATAGGCAGCTATTAAATTAAAAGAGTTATGACCCCTGTGCCAGATGCAGAACTGCTACACATATAAAGACGTGATCATTTAACAAAACATTCACTGTCACACTGGGCAATGATTAGAAGTTGTTGTATGTTAAGCCAGAAGAATGTATTGTTTCTTCTGGCTTAAAGGGGGGGCCATCCAAGAGACAAAAAAAGCTGGCAAACAACAGAATAGGTTTTGATGAGCAGTTTGGGAGCAATTATAAAGCAATAGAGTATACATAAAATTGATATCCTATTTCCAACCTCAGGCTAGGTACAGACCTTTTTTTTTTTTTTTTCCAGTGCTGGGAGCTAACCAATTAGAGCTAAAAGATGACCAGAGAGCAAAACAGTCTCTGGAAGAGTGGGTGAGTCAGGAGCACAAAGTCAATTTTACATGAGCAAAACAGGAAGGAGGAAATATTACCAGCTGAATATAAAGGACTGTGTCACCCACGCTCTCTGGTGGGTTCTGCAGTCTGCCAGACCTATGGGACTTCTGCATGGAGTATTTTGTGAGGTGCAAATACAGGCTTTAAAAAGGGAGATACTCTCATTCTAAATAAACAACGCATTATTTTTAAGAAGATCACCCTGGGGGGAAGAGGGGTGCTCACTAGTATTATTTCTTCCAGCTAAAAGATCTATCCCTAAGACAAGTCAGGAAGGTAATCACAGTTGATCTCAGGCAAAATACTGCCCAGAAGTCTGTCCTTTGAGTTGGGAAAAAAAATAATGAAGGAATCCATCTTAAGAAATGTTTATGATCAGCATCGTTGACCTGGAGGGGAGCTACCTGATGCTATCAGGAGTCTTCTCTCCCAAAGGTGCTGGATAGTGCTTTAAAATACATTCCAAAACCAACTGTTGGTACTGCATTCATCAACTTCTTTTACAAGTGCACCAACATTGATAGAATGTAAAAACACTAAGTTTTATCCTGGGCAGTCTGCCTCCACAGGAGTCAGCAATTTTTCAGGTAATACCTCCCATGTAAAAGTTGCTATTGTTTCTATCTTTTATAGTCATGGCAAGGCAGTGTATTTCTTCTGGTTCACTCCATCTTGCTGTATTTCCCACACAGCTAGCTCTTATTCTTCCTCTATCTAGTCTTCCACTGTCACTGCTTGACAGTACATCCAAGTGCTCCAATTCAGTCATTCACTGACTATAAGGTAAAGCGTTTGTTACTATATGCTGCCTTTCAAGCTGAAGTGATCTTCCTAAGTTCATTTTTCTGAACAATCTGTGCTTTTGGATATCCAGCTGTTACTCAACATTCTTCTCCAACAGCTCCATCCAAAACATTCCAGTTCATCTCTCACTCAGTGTATTCAGTGTTTAGCTTTCATATCTCTCCTCCTTATGCACCACACCGACCACTGAAACATGAAGCGTTTTAAGTTTAAACACTCCAACAAGGGGCACTTCTAGATGCATTTGGGTCAGTATTATGGGGCTCAGGCCAAAGGATGTTGTGTTAGCTGAACGATGCAGTATATTTTTTCCAATTGCTTCAACCACTAACCAACTACATGACATCCTGAACAATTCCTTCTTTAAAATATATAATGAAAGAATTTAATATGAAAATAAAAAAGCAGGAACAAGAACATCTTAAATACATGCAGAGACCAATGAAACAGTATGAGATGTCTGTAGTTTGGGTCAGTTAAAACCTTAATTTTTTAGGTATTTTTCTTTCTTTTGTTGAGGATATACATCCAGGTAATGTTTACATTTTTTGCCGTCTACAGAGCCATAAGGTCCCTTAATGCAGCCTTCATCTTCTTTTCTTGATACATGCCATCAAACTATGCTTCCTAAAAGAGTTGTCATTAGGAAGGGAGGCCCCAGGCACCACATTACACAGTTGCCTGGTTCATAACAACGTGAATTGGGAAAAATAATCAACCACTTTAAAACAGAGCTTTAAAATCATGCAGTTGAACTTGCCTATACTATTTCCATGAAGTATTCTGTAGTCATTCCATGCAGTAGTAAAATTTACTACAATTTTTCTATAAGGCAGTAACAACTGGAGATACACAATAGCATCAGGTCTTTCTCCTCTCAAAGAGGTTTTACAAAGCACTAAAGCTCTCCTAGCATAAACTGCACTTTTGACCTCCAGAAAGTCTGGAACAATTTCAGATTTGATACAAACTATAGATGTATTCTGTTACTCTTATTGCCCCCCCCCCCAGTGGAATCCTGTTCTTTTTCTTCAGAAATGCTTTTTAAATTATTTTTTTTTAAATTTTTTTTCCTGTCTTGCAAATCTGATACTCTTTTTCCATTCCCTCCCTCACCAGTTATTTGCTGGCTGGTTTGGAGAGAGACCCACACTGACACAGGCTAGTCACATCAGCAGAGGCAAGAAGCCAGCACCTACTCCTGCATCCCTCTGTACCTGTGAATGTCTCACTGCCAACTGTGTTACATACTACAGGGCACACAGGAAGCAACAAGGGGTTCTTCCAAGAGCACACAATCTAACAAGTCTGTGTCTAGCAGAAAGCATGAACTTGTGGGTTTCACCATATTAATTGTTTCTACCAGAAACAACCTATTTTGCTACTCCTTGCAAGGTCTTTCCGGACATGAAGACTGGGCACTGATGGAAGCATAGATTATACTCTTTCTGACTTTGGGAAAATCAGATTACCAGATGGCATAAATAAACCCCCCCAGCAGCTTTCCCAGCTACTTTGCACACCATATTTTCTTTATTTTGTCCTCCCCTGAAGCATAAATTATCAGTAAGTACTGGAGGAAAGATCTGGGACTCAGTGGAACAGCTGGTTGATCTGACATGGCAAATACTCCGCTCCTCACATCAACAACCAGTTTCTTCTTCCTCTTCCACCTCTGTCTTACCTGTCTTTGAGTGGTTGTAGGCCTCAATGTACAACTGACCTTACTGCATGATGTGATTTTTGACTGTACAACATAAGGTTTTTTTACTATGCTTATTACTTTCAAACCACAAAACACAATTTAGCAGCCACTGGAGTTATTTCCTGCTTCAATCATACCCATGTTCACACTCTGAAGAGATGCTGGCATCGTTGTAAGAGCTTTTCCATTACTAATTTTCACTTCGTTCTCAAAGATGTGCACTGACAGTCTTAGCTCCTCACGTACACAAAGTAATCTCAAAAACACAGATAGCAGAGCTATTTTAAATGGCAACATGCAGCTTACAATGAAAAGCATTATATGCTGATATAGAACCACAGTTCTAGAAGATCCTAAAGCATCTAAGATCACATTTAGATAGCCTCAATTTCACTTTGACCTTCCTTTGCTCTGGGTTAGACAATGTCCCACTCAGCTGCTGGACTACATCTGTGGAGACTGCACCTTCCCTCAACTGAGAAAGCTGGCTGTCCAAAGACAGTGCTACATGGGTTTAAAACATCAGATAAATACAGGAAAATCTCAATGGAAGTTGGTCTTACAGCAATGCAACAGGATTTGCTGCAGTTTGGCTGAGAAACTCTACTAGTATGTGATCACCAGAATGTATTATAGTAGCTTTCATTTTCACACAGAACAGATAAATTCATTGTTTTGAAAGGTCATGACAGTAAATCGTAAGGAATTCAATTTATCTCCCTCGGATGGATGAAGGACTGAGTCAAATATAGAACAGTGAAAACCTCTGGCTCCAAGAAGTCTGCGCTGACTCAAACCTGCTCTTAAGCAGACAAACCATCCTTTCAGCTATACATTATTACAGCTTGTGATTTTCATCTATCTTTTTTCTCCCAGCTGTGATATTGCAGCAAAGTTTGTCATACATGAACATCAAAAGAATGGCGAATACACGAAGAATTTGTTTGTCTTTAACCAGGAAGTTTACCAAATACAAAATTATTTGTGATACAGATGGACATCATCATACTTGTCTCACACTCATTTCTTCACGTCTAAAGTGACATACAAAAAAGTACAGGGATTGATATGGGAGAAGACAGCATCAGCACGGTACAGAAAGGCAAATACTGGAAAAGCAAATAAGCACAAAGATTAGCTCTAAAACCAGAAAGATCATGAAGATAGAAAACCAAAAGAATATCCTGAGCCTCATGTTTTAGCTTCATGGTACACCTAGGACATACACCTGTGACATACCAGTAGCACATCTGATTTAACAGGCTCCTTGTGTATTAACTGAGAACAGCAGAGTAAGTGAGCAGATCAATTCTGAATGGAAATATTGCATCATGCAAAAATTCTTACCTAAAGCTTTCTGGGTATTCAACAACAGCCATGTTGATAACATCCAGTGCATGCTGATAGTGCTTCTGAGCTGAAAAGAGGAGGGCCAGTAGATGAAGTGAATTCATGTCATCTTTGCATAGTTGCAGTGCTTCTTGAAGATGTTCTATAGCATCAGAAATCTGGGAGGAGGTGGGGTAGAAAGAAAAAGAGAACACATTTCTCCTTCAGTGCTACATTATATCCCCAAAGTAAGAACAAATACAGTCATTAGAAATTCTGAAGAAATCCTACATAAGCACCTGTGAGAAAGACTTCTACTATCTGAACAGTTTGACAAAATTAACAGACTGAACTGCTTGAAAAAAAACCCATACATTCTAGAGAAAAGAGTCTGCAGCGTTACTAAATCACTGCTTATAAACAGGAGCAGCAGACCTGATCCAGTTAACCCCCTCTTACTTTGACATGGTGCTTCTATGCTGTAAACAGATCCACTACAGAGACCCAATTCTCAACTGTTTTCCAGGATGGGTGGCTGGATCTTTTCCTGGGGGAGAGCATTTTACATCTCTGCTGCATTTTGTCTCTTGTGATGGCTATACAAGGCCTTTCATGATTTGGATCAAGAACATAAAAATTAAGTTTGAATGTTCAAGGGTAAAAGAGTCAAGATTCAAAATGCTGTCAGAAGAAGAAATATCTTTGCAAGCAGTCATGTAAAGAGCAGTCCTGACACAGCAGCAGCACACTATTAGAATCAAGTCTCACTTGGCAGAAAACATCTATAATGAATGCAAGTATACCACATGTTCTAATGTGATCTAATACCCTATTTTAGTCTATCTGTTCAAAAGGGAATTTCTGAGTAGATTTTCTTTCTTTTGGCTACTAATGAGTTCATATGGGGAGGATTTTCTTTAAGATTCTCTGTGTCTGAAATTACTGTTGCTTGAATTATTCCAGATCTGTGTTTAGCCCTGGAAGCCTGCAGAAAACAAACCGGAACAATCTTTTCCTCATATAAATTTCTTTTCCTCATATAAACCTTCCCTCTCCTTCCTCTAAGAGATGGAGAACATAGCTCCTTTCCTACTATGAGAACTTCCCACCTAGCAAAGCTCTGCAGACATTCTCCTGCCTTGGCGTACCACCAGTGCCAAATTTCCACTGCTTTCACAGATCTCTCAGGAAAACAAGTACTACATAACTAAGGAAAGCAACAATTACGCTGCCTGCAGTTACAACAGAGATCACTGATTATCTAGATCCCAGATATACTTCTGGGAACGTGGTACATACTCTGTTCATGGGGCAACTTTGTTCTAAGGTGCAAATGACATTTCACTCTTACTGTGCCTATGCAAGCCAAAGTACTTAACTACTCTATTACTGGTGACTCCATGCAAGTCGGAGATCAGTGCGACTGCTCCACAGACATAACCCCAAACTGGCATCTGGCCCACAGCTTCAAAACTGCTGAACGTCCTGGCTTAGATTCAGGTCGGGATATATGACTGAGTGCTCAGCTTTAATGAATTACTGCTTGTCAGTGGAGCTACTTTAACCACATGTGTTGTTATAGCCTACTGCTTAAATCACCAATGTTCCCTCAGCAGCTAACTAGGACACATTTTCTTAAAATGTAAAAACACTAGCAATGACAAGACGACTTGGAACCAGGACCAAAGCATAAGACTGTGGTTGGCCAAGACCTGCCTGTCCACGAAGTTCTTCAGTACATATACCAGAGGTATATAAATTTGACTTACTAAAACAAAGCTGTTATCAAGACTCTTCTTGTACTTGGGACTAAAAACACCTCTTAGTTTTTCTATTCCTTTGTCTCAGACCTGCACAAGAAGTCATGAAGAAATTCCAAGTTTGGGGAAAAATAAGTTCTTTAGAAGAAAAAGAAAATCTGTACACCAAACTGGACAGGGCTTTGAGCAACCTGTTCCAGCTGACCCTGCTTTGAGCAGGGATTGAACTGGGTGATCTCCAAAGGTCGCCTCCAAACCCAACTATTCAAAGACTTGGGAAGGTGATTCTAATTTGCTAGTATGAATCAGACACAGAATGACACTTGCAACTAATTTCTTTACTGAGGGACTTGTAAGGATACTTGACCTTACTTGCATACAAGCATGCAAACTAAGTCACTGAGACTTTGCTTTGTATGTGTACACGTCTAATGATCACACTACTGCAAGTCCATACCCCTAACAGAGGCCAGCTATCAAGGAAGCTCTCTGACTCCATTGCAACACACATGAAATGATGCAACACAAGTCAGTTGTGGTCGCTCCTGCAAACCTGTGCCTGCTGAACAGGCAGTCACACACTGTTCAAACAGAAATAATCTAAGATAATTTTCCCCTGTTCCATAGCATAGGACTTGCAATAGTTACATCTAATTTCAGTCCTTCCCTCTAGTACCATCAGAGCCACAGGCAATGGCTGGTTTTGGAAATTAATCATGACACATTTTTGTTTAACTTAAGCCCCAAATGATTCCTTAGCGCTATAACACCATTTATAGCCTACACAGGACTGCTGCTTAATTAGAAACAGTGGACAAAACATAGATAAGAAAAAATACGGTCTAATAAATAATATGAGGAGACTAATCCTTTACAGGAAGCACTATACAAAACAACAACCTGCAACAGCCCAGGTACAATAAAATACAAAATAAATTTCTAGAATAACAAATGCAAGACATTTGGCAGCACTCAACACAAACTTCTTTTGAAAAGCAGAGCTCATCAATCTATTGACAGATGCCTCAGCTTATTTATTTAAGTAACTATGTAATATGAGAAAGATGAAAGCTAGCAGCCCAGATGGCACCCTGAAACTTCAGGGTTGCATCAGAGGTAGGCTGCCAGTTTAAATTCCCTACAAGTGCTGTGCTTCAAAGTAATCTTATTTCAGCTGGAGCGCAAGTCCAAACAGGGCCTGTAATTAGAAGATGCTACCCTTCTCTGATTCATCTTTCTGTTAATAAATATACCACACGTGTTCTGCATGGCACACAGGTATATTCAGATCACACTGATTAGGAAGCAAAGATACTGCCGGAAGCCAGAAATAGAATCTTCCAGCACTACCAAAATAATACCACAATATGGATTATTTAGGCTGCCTCTCATATAATAGGACTTATTTCAATAATGCTATATGTTTCCTTAAAAAAAATGCTGGAATGTTACAACTGTAGATATAAAAAGGAAAACAGTATGAGCGTTAAAAATAATTCCCACTACTAGAATGCCCTTGCATACTTAGAATGGTAAGTGAAACAGGATCTCATAAGAGGAGTTTTCAGGCCTTATAATTTCACATCAGTTGTGAATTACAGTTAATTAACCATTAAAACTATCCTCTCAATCTCTTTTTATAGCACAGGGATTACAGAAAGGAGAAATCTTTATTGCCTGGAAAGAGCTTCCATTGAAAACAGACTTGTTACAGTCCACCAGAACTTCGGGAAAGCAAGCACAGACATATATGTGAGTTAAGCTGTTATTTAACTCTTACTTCAAGCTGGTTTTGATCACCAGAAAAATCTAGGCCAGGACTCAGACAGAAAAGCAGCACGTTGCTGTTCAGCAGAGGAGGCACTAGCTGGTCTGGGAGAAAACAGACCATTACTACCCACATTCAGCAGTCACTGGAAGAAGCACCTTCTGGGGTAAAGACAGCAGTCTTGCCTTCTTGAAACCAGAATAAAAACTGTGGAGAAAACAGCTGAAATATTTTCTGTGGTGTCTTAACTGCTGTTTATCTTATTTTTACATTCAGGCCCTCTGAAAGACAGTAGATGTTTTTTGGTTATTGCCACTTGAAACTTCAGGTCTGTTGGCAGCCCACATATGAAATTGATAAGTGAGACCTCTAATTCTCAGCTGCTGGCCCCTGGCTGTCTTTCCCTTCCTATTTTCATGCGAAGAAAGGTCAAAATCAAATCAAGTATTAAAATGGTACGAAACCCCCATATGTTGTTTTTATGTATCCGATACTGATTTACATGGCATTCAAGGTCAAAAACAACACCACCACCCAAACTGCAAAGGGAACCAGCACTTAAAATTAACAAGAGCGCTGACTCTCTAGAGTCATTTCCATAGAAACTGGCATGCTAAAAAACAAGGCAAGGCATTAAAAATCAGTGAGCTTCAGAATGTTCATTCTACCTTGTTTTTGCTGATCCAAATGCTGTTACCACAGAAACAGGAGAAGCAGCAGAACCAGCTGCAGGGAGCTGGGAGCTACAAGTCTCATTTGTGGATGGGCTGGGCCGGCTGCCAGCCAGGCGCTGCAGGTGGAGATAGCCACCACCGCAAACACTGACCTTGGCCTCACAGCACTTCCAACTTGGAGGGAAAACCAGATTGAGAACCTCCTTATAGGAAAGGGTCTTCTATTCTGTATTTTGCTGAAAAATCCACCCTAAAATGCTGTGGGGCTGACCTAGAGCGGGTCCAGAGGAGGGCCACAAATATGATCATGGGATGGAACACCTACCCTGTGAAGAAAGGCTGAGAGCATTGGGGTTGTTCAGCCTGGAAAAGGGAAGGCTCCTTACTGCAGCCTTCCAATACTCAAAGGGGGCTTATAAGAAAGATGGGGACAACCTTTTTGGTGGTGAAACACTGGAACAGTTTTCCCAGAAAGGTGGTAGATGCCTCATCCCTGAAAACATGCAAGGTCAGGCTGGATGGGGCTCAGAACAACCTGATCTAGTCGAAGATACCCTTGATCATTGCAGGGGAGGTTGCACTAGACTTTTAAAGGTCCCTTCCAACCCAAACTATTCTATGATTCTAGACCCTCCAGGAGTCACTGGATTCCTCCCAGTGTCTCTGGTGCTCTTTAAGACAAAGCCACACACACAAACACAAGTACAAAGCACATAATCATCTTTCATTTTGGTTGCTGGTGGTCTTCAACCGCCAACTCTGCAAAAACCTTTTTTAACCACTCCTCTTCTTGTCACGTCCTCATTGCATGTCAGAGGGAAGCTTATGCTTTTCCGTTTCCCCTCTTCCTTGCCTAATGCTGACAAAGAGCTATTGGAAATATTTTACAGAGTCTTCCAAGGAAGATGAATTGCTCCAACTTTGCTTGGCACTCTACCAGCCAGCTGCCTCTCTTGCTTTGTTCCATGAAAACGCTCTCTTATCTATGCAAGCTGATACCTACATTTTTCAGTGTTGGGTAGGGTTACCTCCTTTATTGACCTTGACTACGGAATTAAAAAGCCCTATTTGTTGAGAATAAGAGTCAGGTATTATATTATAACCTACTGGGTAGCAATGGCCTGATTTGTTGGTACTGTAGCATCGCCTAACTGCGATGTTCAATAGTTAATGCAATCTATCAAAAAAAGGTATCATTTGTCTTTCAGTTAATCAGAAAGAGAATATATTAGATACTTTAAATAATTAAGGATATTAAAAATGCATTACCAAATGTTTATCATTAAGTAAACTGGCAAAAGAAGGGCAGGATATTTTACAGCAGTCTAAAAATAAAGATGTCTCAGGTATCTCCTCTCTCTCCAAGCATGCGTTAAAGATTTATATCTCACTTGGTGGAGAAGAGCAGCAGCATCGCAGTGGCCAGGCTGACACTACATAACACACTTAGATCACACATCTATGGTAGCAGGGGTGACTGGCAGAACATCAAGGATGAAAATACACAGGTGAGGTTGACAAAAGAGAAAGTGAACATGAGGACAAAAGACTGAATGGAAAGAACTGGAGGGAAGGGAAATGATGAAATGAGACATACGAAACAACACCGTAAAGACAGGCTACAACTAGAGATAAAGAAACAGTAATGAGTTAAAATGCAGTGGACCAATAATGGTGAAAACAACAAAGAACCAATGACCATAACAATCTTGATTTTATTTTTAAGGATAGCATTTGAAAAGCTGTAATGCTTTTACTCATGGCAACAAGCGGAAGAGGCAGCAAATCAGACAACCTCCCTAAGAGGCAAAAGCTGCGAGAGAAGGAAGGGTAGCCGGATATTTTTTAATGAAAGACCCTGAGCAAACTGCCTCATAAAGCAGCCAGTAGGCAGATGAGAAAGTTAAATAAGCCATTGTAATTATCCTTTTCTATTGCAGGCTTCCTCACAACACACTGCTCTCATTATGAAAGGGTTACAAAGTGACATTATCAAGAGTGTGCTCTCTTGGAACAATTAGCTTAACCTAATGAGCACACAGCTCCCCTAATTAACTGAGGAAAGTAAGAAGGATCCAACTGTTTGACTCTGTAGTGTAGACTGAGAAAACTGCAGCAAGCAGAAAGCCTGCCAAAGAAGGAAACTATGATGATGAAATTTCAAGTCTAACTAGAGAAGCATTTGAAAAATAGGGGCTGTTCCAATAAAGACTTTGGCTTTTAAACAGAAAGGACAGAGAAATAAATCACATCCCAATTATAAAAAGAAGGGACAGAAAAATAAAGCACAGCCCAAATGTTTTTTCTGATAGGCAGTGCAGTGTATTTGCTGATCAGCTTTATTTTTATGAGTTAACACCTGCAGCAACATTCAAATGCCAACTAATCCCACTCGCTGCAGAGCTCCAGCACCCATCAAAGCCTAATGCTGAACGTGCCCAAGTATGGAATAAACCAATCCCCAGTGCAGACAGTGTGCAATCTGGCCTGATACAGAACTGGGCAGTAATGAGAGAGCCTTTGGAGTGGCCTGCAGAAGGACACAGCATGATACCCAGGGAACAGGAATAAATACACCTTGCTTACCCCACCCAGACGAAGTTGCTCCAAGTGGGAACAGCACTGCTCACTGAGTTACAGCCGAACGCGTGCCCTAGCAGTGGTCATTCCATGTGCTACAGAATTACTACTTACAAAATAATTAAAAAGTCTTGCACAAACATATTCTGATTGATTGCTATTGATTACAATGTAGGAAGGAAAGGACCCTGCTTAGCAAGCCTGAGTCTTGTTCAATTGGACTGTCCTTTTCCCACCCTCTCATGACTCAGTGGTTGCCAATTATTGCACATACCTGTCTGACAAGAGCCAGCTGCAGTGACAGGTAGAGGATGATTTGGTGATCTTCCGGGGCCAGGTCATGTGCTCTTAAGGACGACCACACAATACAAAAAGAAAAGTGACTGTTAGATTATACTTTGCAAAACTCCTTCGCCATGAGTCACACACAAGCACAGAACAAACCCAAGTCCCCACCTACAGCAAACTGGTCCTGTAACAGGGTAGCACACCAAAACTAGACAACAAGCACATCAATGCTGGCCTGGCTAAGCCAGGCTCAAAGGAACGAGTGTGAGAAACACAAGTGCCAGGATGTTCTACAAACTTACATGCTCCTTCATTATATGCCACTTAAAGTTTTGGAACATCAGTAACTGATATGAAGAAAGTAGCTCTTAACTTATGATAAACCCATTAAAGCATTATCTTTAGGTAGTTTAGGTGAGGGAGATAGTTGTCCAACTTGTTCCTATATTGCCACTTTTCAAAGTTAGGTTAGCACTAAAAAAGTAATACTTGTTTCTGCTGTTATTGTGACTATGAGCATGTAGAGGACTAAAGATCAGGAGCCCATGACGTGAGCTGGTGCTCAAACACACAAAACATCCTCCACCCTGCAGTTTCTAGTCTAATTGTTGACAGCAGACTCCTAATTTGGAAAGGGAATACACTGAGGGAGAAATGAGAATTTGATGGCAGGAGCTGAGCAAAACCAAGGCCCCTACTTCTCAAGTCTGGACCTCTTAGATACTACCTTCTAGTCTGTGGCTGGCAGTGGGCACTGCAGTGATCCTTTGGTTATTGAGGGCTTCAGTGTCTCCAGAACCAGATGTGGAAGCCCTTCACACAGGTTTATGCAAGGCAGGGAATAGGGATGGACAACCAGGGCAGAACTGCCCCTCTCAGACTATGCTAAGCACGAAACTGCAGTCTGAGCTTGCTAGCCTGTGGAGAAGCCCTTGACCAAAGCAATGTGAAGATTGAGTTTTGGGGCTCATGCCACCTTGCTAGCCCAGCTCAGGGACTAGTGGGTCATCCCCTTGCTAACCCACAGAGCTCACTTCTAGCTCTGTGGCACTGGGAAATAATTTCATATGGGAGAGATGGGGAAGAGACAGGTCCCTCATAGCCAACTTATTCCTAACCTCTTTCTGGGCTGCGTTCCAGGACACCAGGGAAGCCTGCACCTGCATCACCCTGCCCAAAGTGAGCACGATTAATATCCTTATGAGGGATAAACGACAGGCTGACAAGGCTGGTGGTTAAAAACCCTGCCAAAACTATTCATTTGCTAATAATAAACAAAGAAAGAAACAAAAATCAAAGAATTACTCCAGGAAACAAATCACACATCATTTCAATAGCAGCCACTTCTCAAATGCCATCTTGGCCTGTAAGCAAGAAGCTGTTGGAGTTTACTTTTGTAACTAATGGCTCTAGAACTAATTAATTTAATATAAATCACAGAATTGCAGAATGCCAGGTTTGGAATGGACCTCAAGGATCATGTAGTCCAACCTTTCTTGGCCAAACCTCAGACTGAATGTGTCCTGTAGCTCTGCAAGTCAAGGTAGCACTTGAGGTTTCTGAAGCAATGCCAAAAACATCAAGGTGCAATTAGTACAAGCAAGTCACTAATTTCTCCCCTCATTTTAAACAAAAAACAAAAACCCCAATACCCAACAACAAAAACCACAAAAAAAAAACCCAAAACAAAAACAAGACTCCACAAGACAAAACCCAACTTTGCCCTAAGCTGTTGGAGCGGGGTGAGCTGCCACTTTAGCAAGCAGCTCCTGTGAAACCTTCAGTAGCCTCTCCAACAATAAGTAACAGGGCAAAGTTCACATGGGTGTATGGGAGAAGAGATTAATGGTGCTTTTGGAAAGGAACAAAGGGTTGTTATTTTACTGTTCAGTTTCCTCAAAAGGTATTAGAAAAAATATTTAATCCAAGCTTCCATCTGAAAAGGCCACTTAGAAGGAGGACTACAAGCTAAATCATGGCCTGAGAAACCATATGTGTACTTTAAAAACAGGTGCAAAACACACAAAAAAAGAAATCAAACTCAGGCATTTAGGAAGACACTAGTAACTACCTCACTGTCACAACATCCCTGTTGGCTGAAGCTTGAGTACCTAATGTGTGGCTAGAAGCTTGTCTGCTTCCTAGCTAGAGTTAAGATACCATGAAATCAAGTCACAGCCAGTAGGAAAGGTCAAAGGATAAAAATAAATGCAGTTTAAAAGCACTGCAGCACTGCAATTACATCAAAATTGTGTGGCAGTTAAAGTACTACACTGGAGCCCAGGAACTAGTGTGACTTAAAGTATACTTCTGATCTGAAAAGTGACTGAATAAATGGCTTTTAAAAATTTTATCTTTCAGGTCTCCTTAGGGTAAATATCTAAAACTACATCTCTGGTTTCAGCTTACTACATGCTCTTGCAATCACTGCAAAGCCAGTGCAAGACAAACATGCCTGGCGACTCCTTGCCCAGCATCAGCAAAACAGCTAAGATGCAGTAATATGCTCAACCTGCTACATCTGTACTTTGATATACCAGAGATCTCAAATTTTCTTCACTTTTGTAATGTATGATCACAACAAACCCAGAATTAGATACTTCAGCTGAAGACTTAGACCATATAAGCTTCCATTTAGTTGCCATCTGAAGTCTGTAGGCATTTACAATGTTAACAACTGTCCTAACACCACCTAGTCTATTTTGGGTGATGTGACTTAGCTGTAGCTGGGTCGAGAGCGCACACCTCACCTCTCTATCACAACAGAACAGACAAAAACATTTTTTAACCCAAGCAGTTTTACTTGAAGTACCTGTTGTTGCAGAGGAGTTTAATTCACAGATAATTTCAGAGCAGAGCCAGTGGATGTTGGGGGCTGACCTGCTGGAGAGCACCTCTGAGGAAAAAGATCTAGGAGTTCTTGTGGACAACAGGATGACAATGAGCCAGCAATATGCCCTTGTGGCCAAGAAGGCCAATGGCATCCTGGGTTGCATCAAGAAGAGTGCGGCCAGCAGGTCGAGGGAGGTCATCCTGCCCCTCTATTCTGCCCTGGTGAGGCCCCATCTGGAGTACTGTGTCCATTTCTGGGCGCCCCAGTTCAAGAAGGACAGGGAACTGCTGGAGAGGGTACAGCAGAGGGCCACAAAGATTATTAAGGGCATGGAGCATCTTTCCTATGAGGAGAGGCTGAGGGACTTGGGTCTTTTTAGTCTTGAGAAGAGAAGGCTTAGTGGAGATCTAATTAATGCATACAAATACTTAAAGGGAGGGTGTCAGGAAGATGGGGCTGGTCTTTTCTCAGTGGTGCCCAGTGACAGGACAAGAGGAAACGGGCACAAACTTGAGTATAAGAAGTTCCACCTAAACATGAGGAGGAATTTCTTTACTGTGAGAGGGTTGGAGCACTGGAACAGGCTGCCCAGAGAGGTGGTGGAATCTCCTTCTCTGGAGACATTCAAAACCCGCCTGGACAAGTTTCTGTGCAACGTGCTCTAGGTAGACCCGCTCCAGTGGGGGGGTTGGACTAGATGATCTCCAGAGGTCCCTTCCAACCCCATATGATTCTATGACATTGTACCACTAGGTGCGTAGACCCCTTTTCATACAATAGCTCATGCAAACACTCAGAACAGCAACCATCTCCTCCCTGGGAAGTGCACTGATGCCAGGTCACTCCATAGCAGCCTGTACCCTGGTGGTGAAGCTACTTTCCCACCATGAGGGAAACAGGAGTTTAAGCCTGCGTCGCACAAGAATAGAGACAAAACTTGTTTTCCACATCAGGTGAGGAAGCTGCATCTCCCAGCACTGCAGATCTCACTGCAGCTAATTTGGGGCTAAGATTATTTCTGTTTAATGGCAGAACAGGTACTCTTACCTTGGATATTCAACCAAATAATTGCTGCCATAATTTAGCCATGACAGGAATAGTTTTGGCAGACTATTGCTGAAATCTATTGAACTGTTCTTAAAATTTCAGGCAAGGAAGCCTTATGCAGGAAAAACCCATTAAAACCAACAATTATTCTAAATTCATCCAAAGAAATAAATAATGCAAGTATCTGCAAGATTCCTACTCACCTCTCCAAAGTCTGAAGTGCTTTCTTGTTTAATTCATCCTGAGTGTCCTTCAGAGTAGCTGTACGACAAGATACAATGCCATTTAAGAGTTGAATCCAATGTTTCAGATTAAATAAATAAATAGTTACACATGCACAAAGTATTTCAAACTGGGAGCATAAAAACTGTGGAAATCTGGTGATGCGTACATTCATGGCTGAAAAACATGCCATTTTGTTTTTAAAGAACAGCAGAAGACCCGTATTTTAACCTTAATAAAAATGAAATTGAGAATTCAAGACTCTTCCGACTCCCTTGTCTGAAATGCCAGAGCATGTTTTATTTACATATGCTACTGAAGGGGTCTAGGAGGAGAAGGGGGCATAACTAGATACTAAGAGCACAACAGGCCCTCTGCCAGGTTGGTGTATGTGCTAAAAGCAGTAAGTAGCAGCATATTCTGACTCAGATACAGACCTTCTCCACTACCATCCTCATGTAGGAGGGTGTTGCAGGTTGAACAGGGAACACCAGGAGCCAAATTTACAGCTCTACAACAAAACCCTTGACAACACACCACCTCCCTTGAGACCCCAAAGGATTTCTAGGCTACTTCAGGTGTGGCATTAGCTACTAATGACCTCTTTGGTGCCTCCAATTGCTTGACTAAAGGATTCTGTCCACTAAGCTCACTTCTCAATGTGTGAATTAATTCCTAGCTAAAAACCATAAGGAGAAGAATCAAGCTCTTGTTATGCCAGGGTATCATAAGATACCATCATCTTCAAGAGCAAGGGGTACAAAGAAAGACCTTAGAGAGGCATGGCTTTCTCAGATCCAAAATATCTTGAAAGCTAGCGATAATTTTCAGAAGTACATTGGCTGTCTTGTTCTGGTTCTTAGTTTTCAGATTTTGCATAGCAGTTGTTTCTTGTTCTGCCTACCCTGAATTTGAGAGCTACTGATCAACAGCACGAAGAAGTGATGAGTACTGACTCCATCAGCAAACATCCACCTATGAATATATTTGACTTCATACATCATCAGTGCAAGCTCCAGAATAGGGTGGCATATACTTAAGCAACAACACCACATACAAGCCAAGTATTCTTAAAAGTTATTAAGAGGAAAGGGTTGTGTTCTCCAACAAGACGTACAAGGTAATCAGTTTCTTTGGATTCTGCAACATGCTAGTGAGTGAAACTTTGAAAGTAATTTATTTTGCCAAAGTAGTTAGAGTAATCAGAACTTTTTTATTCTTACATCTTGTAACAGTTCTTCAGAACACCTGGTTCATTTGGGAGGAACAGCAATCTTCAGGATTTCCCAAATCAAAAAGATCAAAAATTGCTTATGCTACAAAATCTACTCTAAATAGCAAAACTGGAACAAAAAATTTGCAGTTTAAAGAATAAATTTGAAGGCATGGGCTTTCATGCAAAATGCAGCATTTATTAAAAGTAGCAGGAAACACTTCACTCTTAATAGCCTTAAATTGAGCATTCAGGTCTACTGCCAAATATTAGGAAAAGGTAACAGAGGAGGGAAACTCAGAGAAACAATTAAAAGAATCAAGATTGATGTAAAGATCAAAATGCTTGAAACACTAGAAAGGACTTGATCATAGCTATAAACATTCATCCAGAAAAATACGTCTGATTCTGTTTCTCGTGGAAACTACAATATTCTTTATGTAAGTTACACAGTAGTTCTGGAAATGCCACACAATGAGGGACACTGAAAAAAATTTTACTGTTTGCACCCCAAAATAAACATCAAATGGAAAATCCAGGAGAACTTTTAGGTTGCACCTGGTAAGATGTTTGTCTGATGTTCAGAAAGACTGATGTCAGAAAGCGCACAAAATATGTTATGGAAATGAAGTGATTATTCTACAACTAGTCAGCGTTGCCTCTGCACTACTGGGAAACAGCATGTGATTCCCACCTCCCACAATACGAATTGCATCTTCAGCTACAACTCAGTTGGAATCCTGGTTGTCTGTCTCTAGATTTGTGTTTGACTTGGATAAACACACTGAAATTTGTGTTTGACAATACTGAGGACTGAGGCTGCAAGTTAACCATGCTATTTACAGGGCCTTTACAGCTAAAGGAGATAAATTAGGAAAAAGAAAAAAAAAAGAAAAAAAAAGGGAAAAAAAGTGATTAAGTGATTTTGGGGAGGGATGTATAAAAAGAAGCTTGGCCAGCAGGTCAAGGGAAATGGTTTTCCCCCTCTGGTCTGCTGAGACCCCATCTGGAGTACTGCATTCAGCTCTGAGGCCCCCAGTACAAGACAGACATGAACTTATTAGAGCAGGTCAGAGGAGGGCAATGAAAATGGTTAAAGGGATGGAACACCTCTCTTATGGAGAAAGTCTGAGAGAGCTGTTGTTCAGCCTGGAGAAAGCTCCAGAGAGACCTTATTGTGGCCTTTCAATACTTAAAGGGGGCTTATAAGAAAAATTGAGAGGTTTTTTTTACCAGGGCATGTAGTGATAGGACAAAGACTATGATTTTAAACTAAAATTGGGAAGATTTAGATCAAATGTAAGGAAGAAATTCTTTACTATCAAGGTCATGAGACACCGGAACAGGTTGCCTAGAGAAGTTGTGGATGCCCTACCCACAGAATCATTCAAAGAAATCATTGTCACTGCAACTCACTTGTATCACTGAAAAGGTCTCACTTCAGACAAAGAAAAGCTTGCACCAAGGAGACAGAATTAGGTGGGTCTGCCTAAATTTGTAAAAGTTGTGCTCCATTCTCCAAGGTTGACTAATGTATTCTTCAGCCTCTACCCAACTTCACCCACTGCAAGCATGGCTGCAACAGTTCTACCAACTGAAACGCAGGATGTCTTACTACTTAGATTAAAATAACCTGCAAAGCAGAGCCTGGCCAGAATAAAGCAGAGAGCACAGGGGATTTTAAGCTTCTGAAACTTCAGCCGTTATTCCTGTAAGACACGGTACTTTTGCAACAGCACCTTAGGAGCCCAAGATTTGTATTCTAAAGCACTTAAGAGTTTTTAAAGGAGCTTAAGACTCAGCAAAAGTGAACAGGATCTTCAGCAACATTTTGGTACCTAAATATGAAGCTCTAAAGTCACATTTGAAAACAGAGGAGGGCAAGCTCTGCGTTAGTAAGCAGGTGTAGCATAGTAGGTGTGAATGCATGGAGTGAAACACTTAATGCTGAGGATCAGCATCAACACTACAAACATGGGGATAGGGGTCTAGTTCTAGTCTTGTCTCACGGACTGAACACCCATTAGCAGCTGCAGCATAATCAGGTCTATTTATGTAGCACATTAGTTTTATGGGAAAGAATTCAGTTTGTGTTGTGCAAAACTGTTCCATTATGTGAATCACAGCATAGGAAATGGAGATGACTGAGAGATGGACTTCAAAAATACATTTCTGATCCAAACACACCAATGCGCATGCACCCTTTTGCAGGTATCAATGGGTTACAAACATTCCCTTGTGTTATGACACCTAATATGACAACAGTTTTAGCACCCAGAATTATAATTAAAGATCGTATATATATACTGTTATCTCCAGAAGCAAAAATGATGGGTTTGTTCACTAATAAGCAATATCTAATTATTATTTTTTTTAACATTAACCAGTCCTGTCAGTATACTGATTATTTACAACATCCAGAAGGACTGATACAAAGTTTCCAATTCAGTCCCTGATACAAAAATTCTAAATGAAAACAGAGATACAGCACACTCTCATCTCTGAAGAAGTAAGGGTCTGTTAAATCCACAAAGATTTCACAAGATGTGAGGTGGTGATGTTAGATAAGAGCAGCCCTTGTATTTCACAACACATTCTCAACCTGGTCATTTGTCTTTAGCCTTTGTTAAATTCATCTCACCTTCCCCTCTGTCTTCAACGGATTCTGCATCAGACCTAAGGGAGGCAAAGCTGACAATACAGCTTTCGTCAAAACTGGAACTACAAGAAAGGTTTGCTGTTGACATTGACCCACTGGGAACAGATCTGCAGAAAATTTAGTATAGCAATAGATGGACATTGTGTACGAGCAAGAAATTTGTGCTTCTAAGAGTGAGGCAAAAGTGGCAGCAACTTCCTCTGAGGACGTATCTTTCAGCTACTTCAATGAGACTTATTTCAAGAAAAATGTAATCAGACATTAAGAACAAGGAAGCTACACAGACTGCTACCCAGCATAAGTTTCAGGAAGACACCCAGGAGTAAATCTAATAGCTGTAAAGTGACTTTTATCAAACGCTCCCACAAGCTTTTTGAATTGTTATTCAGTTACATTCTTTCTTCTGACTCTGTTTTTTAGCAAGTGCTTTTTGCAGGTCACAAAGGAAAAGCTTTAATACAACTCCTCAGTGCCTTTGTCACACAGAAGGAGAAATATTTACTAAAAGGATATACTAAATAAGAAAGCCTAACCTTGCATGGAAGGCATCTTGATATAATGCTGTAAACTTTATAAGGCAATTGGTCAAATGCCTCTGAAACATTTAGCTACCATTAAAAATGCTGACTCACTGGAAGTCAGCTCAAAAGGAAAGTTACGGAAATCATGTATACATACAGATGTTTGATACTGTGTCTGTATATGTCACTATGAACTGGTATAAACACAATTATAAACAAGACTGTATGAGGCAGGATTATATAGGGGAGTTGCTGTCTTCCTTTCAGCATAGTTCACTCTTGCTTTTTCACTGTGATAAGCTATTTTTCTAATGATGCTAACGAAAAATCTCTCATTTGTGCAAATTTGACATTATCTAGTAAAATGCTGTTCCATATTCATGATCATCATAAGTGTGCTTTACAAGGACTTAATCCATTTTATTAAAATATAACCTGAAAGATTTCCCTCAAATAACTGAGTGACTGGCCCTATTGACTTAAAGGCTAGAGATGCAAGTAGAAGGCAGATATTCTACTGTTTCACAACTAACCTGAAAGATTTCCCTCAAATAACTGAGTGACTGGCCCTATTGACTTAAAGGCTAGAGATGCAAGTAGAAGGCAGATATCCTACTGTTTCACAACATAAATCAGATGCTGATCTGGAAAAAAAATCCAAGGCAGTTGCTGTGAGGACTCGTTTCTTTTACAGTAAAAAGGACACTTATCACAACATCTGAATTAATCTCTTGAAAACTCAGAGAAGACTTCTCTTCCAGAAGAAATGTTTCCATGTTTCATTTTGCTGCGTCAAAGTATTTTTAAAGCCAGAGTACAGCACATGCCTCTGCAACTCCATTCTTTAGAAACCACCTTCTTTCCATACCGAGGATAACAAATAGATCATAATGGGCAAACATAGAAAACCTTCCATCTCTGAAAATAGTCTCTGGGATCTTGTATAGCTTTAGGGAGAGTTTAAACAAAATCTAGGCAAAATGCCCTAAAAAGCTAGGCTGTTAAGCAGAACTCAATATTTAATGAACTTTAAAAATATATATATATGAGAAAGTTCAGGCTAGGAAAGACACCTGTTTCTTGACACAAACTTTCTAGGGGGAACTATTCTGCAGCAGAGAAACAGAACTGAAGAGAGCTACAGTGCCTGTTAGCCTCCATGTTGGAAAGCAGTTCTCAGAACAGCTGGTCAGATAGGGCTGGCTGAAAAAATACACCGACCTGCACTACTAAGATCTGCTTCCTCATACACATGCCTTGCAGAATTCTGGTGTAACTTGCAAGGCCAGCATACTTCTGTAATACCATACAGTCATTTTAGTTTTGTTTCAGGCTCCTTTGCTGGAAGAAGTTGGTTCCTTTCTATGGGACCCATCTGACAGAAAAGCCAAAAAGTCAGGACTGCCAAATTGATTAGGAAACACGCTAGCTCAGCCATTATTCAAAGAAACTATGTTAGAAGGCCTTCTACCTATATTAGAAGTCGTAGAAGAAACAAAGACTGTTCCCACCTGTGAGCTTGATGAAGGTCAGAGCTATAACTCTTCCAAACACTGGGACTTCAAGCCCTTGTGGCTACCAAGCAGCAAATCTGCAGGAACCCATTGTCCAGTCATTCAAAACCCAAGCAAGCAGCATTGAAAAAATACTTCTTACATTCAGTGGTCTGTATCTAGTCAACATCCACATGTACCAATGAGGTAGATATTTTTATCTTGTTTACTTCTAAGCAGAGAAAAAACGACATCACAGAGAGGTTGAATCTCTGTGGGGAATCGGTATCACGCCAGGAACTGAAGTCAGGCATTTCTGACTCCAGTTTTTGGACTGTATTTCTTTATGTGATTTACGAGTGGGTGACAATAATATGAAAACAGATGGAAAGTTTGACTTTTTGTTGTGTAAATAAGTAACAGAAATGTATTACAAATATCCAAGTAAAGCACACCAAGTGCTGTTGGCTACAGTCAAATTATCACCTCCTAAGTAATGATTTGCATTTCTTCCTTTGCCTAAAAACTTCACCTTTATTACCATAGAAGACAGTTCTCTGAGCGAGTGAACAGTCCCCATTTGTCTTGCAATCTGATTGTTTTCCATGCCCAGTCAGCGCTAAAAGCAGAGTTTCTAGTGAATTTCCGTCACTTGCACTGAAGACTTTGAACAGATGCTATCTATACAACATACCTGACAAAGAGGATAACTTACCATCAGTAGCTTGAAGACTGTATGTCAGGCCCAGAGCCAGGTAACCCTTTGCTAGGGCCTCTCCAGCATCCTCACCAAGGTCTATCACCATTTTAGCAAAGCATTCTCCTTCTTCCAGCTGCAAAAGAGGTAGGTTGAGACTTATAAGCATTTCCTCTATTCTTGTTTCAGTAAGATTATCCACTAAACTTACCTGTAAGTTACCTGAGAGCCATTCATACAAAGGCTCACAGTGATCAATGTAAACACTCATACAAAGGAGGACATGGAAGGTCAGATTAGCAGACCTTGGTGCGCATGGCACAGTTCTGAGAAAAGTTTTGGTTTTGATTTAAGCATCCACCCCAAACTATTTCCAGATGTTTAAGGTTAGTGAAGGACACTATCTTATTTTTATATTTCCCTTCGGGCACGCTTCAATCATGCAACCTTAAATACAAATGTTGGACAAACTGACTACTTATATACTATCCTAGCAGCACACTGAAAGGTCTAACAAGTTTCTACCTTCAAAGAAAGACCATCTAGTTTTACTGTATGATGTATTTAAACCTTAGCAAATTTTACTTCCTTTTAAAATGTTACAAAAGCAAAATAAGACAGCACTTCACTGAAAACTGAGCTCAGCTGCTGCTTGCAGTTCTGCTGCCACAGCAGCAAATCCAGGACACAAATTTTGACCTGAAATGCCATGCTACCTTAGCAGCTCATGCCACACTAGCCACATTTTGCAACTTTTGCAAAGACACAACTTCCTTGAAAATGCATTTTATATTGCAGATTGCAATGAGAAGAGAAAGCAGTCACAACCTCTCAAATCAGCCTCCAAAATGGTGAAATATGTAAGATGGTCTCTTCTACTACAGTATAGACTGCTTCCCCCAACCTACCTTTCCAGCTGACCACACAGTCCTAAGTTTAATGAAAATATAAAGCTTTAGTATCTTTATAATCTGACTTATTGAGAATTTTAAACCACAAATAATTTGAATGTTTTATTACAGAATAGAGTGTTCCTTATTTCTAACCCTGAACTCTCATTTACATCACTCACCCACTAAAAGTAGAAAAGACCAAGACCTGTAGACTGCACGTATCTGTAAATGCGTAGGTTGGAGAGGTACAGGCAAAATCTGAAAGTAATGTTTGAAAGACACAAAGCATACAGGAAGACCTCATTTCTTTACAAGATAGTCTGCATATCCTGTCAACCATAATCAGAATCATCTCTAATCAAGAACCAGACAGCATTACGCTATTGGAAAAATCCTCATTTTGAAAACTTTCATTACATGACAACTGACTTTCTAGCATGGGATCGTTTAATTTTGAGGAAATACATTTTTGTTTGAAATCCAACTGTTTTAGATGCAAGTACTGCTGATGTAACTGAAACTTGCTCTCCTAATACTCAGCTTTGTCAAGCTTCAGCACCTCGTAACTCCTTAATATCTAAAAGGAGTCACTCATAATGAACCAGAACCAAAAGGTACTAGCAGATCAGAAACTTCCCTTCTGCAGTAATCTGTTAATATGCTACCTACCAACAGAATCTACTTCACTTGCGATACTATCCTGTCAATGGGCCTCCTAGCTACATCACTTGAAGACATTCAGGTGACCACATCAGCCAACAGCTTCATAAACAAAGGAACTGGTATTTATTACATGATATCAAACATCAGGGGGAAAAAAAAGTACTTTTAATGTAAGCTTGAAGAAAGGCTGAAAAGTGCAAGTGAAGACATAATCTCCACTGTTTGCGTCTTCTCATTTGTACAGCTCCTTGAGGCCATATAATTCAAACTAGATATAGATCAATATCATCCAAATTTCTGAAACCTCAGATCAGTCAGCCCAATGACCAGTATATTTTATCATCAAACTCTTCCCTGAAAGCACTATGAAAGCATTACAGTCTTGCTGATTGCCTGGTCAACTATGAATCTGGAAACTACTAACTGAAACAGGAATACCCCCTTGGGGAATATTTGGGGCTACCAACTAAATTGCAAGGACTGTCTTTAACAGCATTATCCAAAGCCTACTGGATTTGGAAAAACTGGAAATAATCCTACTGACTTCAGTGATGCTTAGATAAGACCTTTAAAACTCTGATCACATCAGGAAGATGGAGATTTGTTCCAGGAGATATCTTAATCCTGTCAGTAGTCCTACTGACTTCCCTGAGCATGTTCTGGACCAGAGCCTAGGGCAATGGAAGAAGAAAATGTCCCATGACTTGTCACAAAGGGAAAAAAATAAAGAAAAAAATAAAGAAAAAAATAAACCACCACCAACAAAAAACCCCTTCCATGAAACAGTACCTGAATTCTTCAGCTCTCAGGAACTTTTATGTAAGACATGAAATCTCTGCAGCCAGAAAATTAATTCTGCACCTCTTTTGTGACCATAAACAGCTATATTCCCACTCTCTGTCTTCATTGTTTCTCCTCTTTTCCCCACACGCACTTTCATCCAAGAAGTCTCCATTAGATGAAGAAAAGAGCTATACAAGGAATTCTAATAACTAGTGAACAAGGTTAGGGGTGGGTAAAGCCTATGAAAAAAGAGATTAAATGAAAGGTTTGGAGTTGAAATGGAGACATTTAAAATTGGAGAGATTTTGCTCCATTGTTTCTCTAAACGGTCACCTGATGGTGCTTCCAGTGTCTGACTGATGGCCTATGCTGCATAAATCAGCAGCACACCATTCAGCTTTCTTGCCTGCCAGTTATCCAGGGCCACCTGTGAGTGTCAGATTAATCTACTGTATGAATAATTAAAACCACAACTTTTCAGAATGGCTGAAAAAGCACTTCTAGCACAAACATTCTTACAAACATTTATTCATGCTAAACACTAATGGCACTTTGACCAGCCACAAAGATTCTCATGAATGCAAACTTGGGTCAGCTGAAGGCTGCTTTGAAAATATGTGGCCTTGCAAGCTCCAGCACAGCTGGTTATGTTTATGAGAGCATTTACTTTTCTTTCGTACAGCCACTCAGCCATTTCCCCTGCCAGCCCTGCTGTGGCTGCCATCTGCCCCAACTTCTCCCGTTCTCCTCCTCTTCAATCATCCTAGGCAAGTGTGAAAAGCCAAACTTTCACTCATTTCACTTACTGTCAAGTTTCAACTCTCCAGTGCAAACTGCCCTTACTGGATTGCAGTCTGGGTGAAAACTCCCTCTCCATACACCTGAGTGTACCAGTAGTGAGCCTGAGCTGTGATCTGCCAGTAAGTAGAGCTGTGTCCATGGAGGTCCTTAAGCATATGAGATGTCTCCAGTCTGTTCCATCCAGTAGCAATGGGAAAGGGAGTGGGGGAAGACCTCCAAATGGCACATCATCCCCTCTGGAGTCCCACCAGATAGAGCCAGTCCCAGCTGCAGCTCTTACATGCTGCTACATGACCTGAAGCAGCAGGAGCTGCTCCCACTTTCTCCTCTTCCCATGAGGTGCTGGGTATGTGAAGTCTCCCAGAAGTTGTGAGCTCAAGGTACACAGAAGTGAGCTAAGTGGCAGAAAGCTAATCAGGAGAATCAAGACACCCATTCACACTCCTACTGCAAAGCCAGAGGCCAGCCTCAATATGAAGGGAACCAAAAGGGTTCACTCACTTCAGAGGAGACTCTGATCTTAAAGTGACACAACACTGCATTGGAAGGGCAAGGAACACGGATCAAAACTTTTTGTTGCAACTTATAGGCCCTTGCTAGTAAGCTCTAAGCCACAGGATACCACATGTCCTCCCTCACAGCAGGCATGGCAAAGCATCGCTTCGTGATTTTGGAACGCACAGAACACTGCTGTACCTGGTTGTGAGCAGCATCACTGGCAGCTTCCAACACCATGGAAAATATATTTCTTTTGGCATTAAGATGGCTGGTAACGGCTTGAATTCCGTTTCCTTAGAATCATTATTTGTTATTCCTTCAGAAGCAAGCAAAATACAAAGTCTTAAAGCCGCACACATATACCACCAATTTGTGCCCTACTGTTCTTCCATTCTTCTGCATACTCTGCACTGAATAGCTGGTGGAGAGAAGGGCAGGTTGCAGGGAGAGGTTTCCCTGCCTCCAAAATCTGCATGGAAGAAAGCTCAGAAAGCAGATGTAGGGGGAAAACAACTTAAAAAGAACTTTTTGTGTTTTGAACTCAAGCTGTATAAACTGCCAGGAGGCACCTGGAAACACCAGCTAAGCAACCTCTCCACCATGCCTGAAACAAGCACACACCTGGCACCTGGAGAGAGACCGGCTGCCAAACTGTGAGCTAACACTAACAAGACTGTAATACTGTGGGGTTGGGGGCTTTCTCCCCTTTCACCCCCTCCATCATCTTCGATGGAAAAGGGAGGGTTGTTAGCTGCACAGCCCTGAGGGATGTCTTCCCTGAAACAGAGAGTGGCTGTTAGAGCCACCCTTGCTATCTGACTGCCTGTTTTGGTGTGTGCTTGAGCCACACACCTCGTGCCTGGGGGCACACTGACAAGGGAGAGGGGAACAGCAGGTGCTGTCCCCTGGCCTATTGCCACCCACCTGGTTTCCAACTGCCACCCAGCTTGTTTTTAGAAAAGCTCAAGCCCTACCCCACTGAATCAACACCCTCCGAGACTGTCAGTGGGAGCTGCGGTTCTCACCAGCATGGATTTAGAACAATTGAGGACAAGCAAATTGAGGATGTACAGCAGCACTGAAATAGCACCTACTATGCTGAAAAGGAGGAGCGCACAAGGGAGGAGGCAGGAAACGTGCCAAGTGACACTGGCCTTAAGACATCAGACAAGGTTAGTGAAACAGGGGAGTTTGGACACCAGAGAGACTGAGTGAGACCCAAGCACTTAAGAGACCTGGAAAGGGCATCTACACAAAATTACACATGATATGAACTAGATGGATTGACCTCTTCTTATCATTTTTGTTATACTGGGTTGTAGGTCTAGATAGTAATTCAAAGAGAAGAAAAAATTAAATACTGGGAAAGGAAAATAAGAAGAGGGAAAATGCACAGGAAGAAAACGGCCAATAAGGCATAGTATAATGGAAAGGTTTTGTCCCACAGCTGTTTACAGCATACAAAGCAAATCATGTTACATAAATCAGGAAAAAAAAT